ACCAGCATAAACCAGCAAAGGACCAGCTTAAACCAGCAAAGGGCCAGCATAAACCAGCAAAGGACCAGCTTAAACCAGCATCCCAGCGTCAAAACATACCTAACCAGCATATGCTGGTTTTTTCAACAGGGATAGCAGCTGATTTCACACACACACAGGTCACTAGCCTAAGAAATCCACAAGGTCGCTCAGATTAGCACACTCTTTCATATGCACACACACACACACACACACACACACACACTCTCACTCACACAAACACATACACAGAAGCACAGCACCAGCTAAGACATGGCCACCACACCTTTAAGCAACATTATTTCTCTCCTCCACCATCCCCGTTCATTATTGATAAGTGGGTTAGCATGCTGCTAAATAAGGCCAGCCTCTGTTTTGCTTTATTTGGCTCTACTTTGGCTCAGCAAAATGCATTAACCCGGATTCTTCTGTATGCTAGCCGCTAATGCAGGGACGATTTCATCTCAGCTGAGCTCCACTCGGCTGACAGCAGTGCTGCAATGCAGCTTTTCACAGTCAGAGCGCCACAATCCCACAAATCTGTAGTGTATGGAGGATCCACGACAGAACAAGAGAAAGAGGGAGGAGGAGAGAGACTTGTTTACTGGGTGCGCTTGTCTGAAAATATTGATATTTTTAATATAGATCTGGATTCAGAAGCAGAAGGCCCTGTGTAATGCTTTTACAGTTATTAATCTACTAATATTGCTACAAAAAATGACATAGGATGAAACACGCAGGTTAATATCGGCACTAAAATCCAAAAGGTTAAGCACTTTAAAAGTTGTTGCAATATATCTCTGACCACACATCAGTTAAATTATATAAATTATGTAGGACGCTGAAGTTAAGCAGTCCAAAATGTTCCACTGACTGTAAATCGCTCTGGTCCTCTTATAAATAATATTTAGAAATTGTTTTCAGCCCATCCATGAACCTGAGAGCAATAAATAAATAAATAATATTTTATTAAGTAAATAATTAATCAATCCATTAACTAATAAATATATATATAAAAATAAAAAAATCAATTACAAAAAAAGTCCCAGGCCCTGTGATTTTTAGTGACAAACATGGTTAGAAACAATCATTTAATACTCGAATAGTTAAATGCATGTATTTATGAAGAAATAGAACATTTAAATAGAATAATATAATAAAAACAAAGTGAAATGGATTCAACTTTGTCATTTAAAAGAGAAGCAGTTCACTCCAGATTTTTTATTTATTTTGTGGTTTTTGATCCCCTATGTATACGCCTGTTTGTAAATATCATCTATGCACATCATAAAAACAGCTTCATGTGGGCAAACATGATTTATAATGTGATTAAATACTTCCTGAATGCACCATTTGCTCGTTTGTGTTGTTTTGGTCTTTTAATGTGATCATTTCTCTGCTGGTACTCATATCCTTTTTACTCACAAGGCGCATTTAAGTGAATCACATTCATCAATAATGACTCATTGTGTTCTATGAATGTTCAAGCTATTCCTGGTTTTTGTGTCACAGGTCAAAACTGCTGAACTCATGACTAACTATGCTGACAAAAATATTACCAGTCATCTTCTAAAAACCACAAATCATTTAATCAGTAAAGTATACCTCCAAAACAAATGCTAAACCATGAATTGGTCTGCATTTAACATATGAAGCCTTGCAAACTCCATAAACTTTTTGCAATGCCTCCATTTCAGAAGTCCTACTAATGACGTCAGTAATGGCATTCGCTCAGCCCTCTTTTGAAAAAAACAAGCAAAAATAATAAAATAGTATTAACATACTTGAGGAGGAACCTGCTAGGCTCATTCAGAAAAGCTCACGTTTGGCAGTGAAGTGAACACCACCAAGTATCAGTGTCAAATGTACTGGGCTCCAGTCAGCTCTGAAATGGTTAAGTGGCTGTTCAAAAGGTAGTAGTACTTGTTCTTTCACATTTCTCTGGGCTTTTTGACTGTATGATATTTGACTTCATATGATTTCATTCTAATCAGCTATACAAATGTATGTCCTATTTTTCTACTGTTGGCAGTTTAGACTATAGATATTAACAAGCTTAATTTTAAATATTAAAATTGCACCTGCAGCGTTTTGTCATTTAACTTAAATATATAATTATTTAATTCAGTTAAAAAGATATGTTTTTAATAACACTGAAGCAACCTGACAATATATGTAAAAATAGTTCGAAGTCATACAGCTGTGGAAATCTTGTTGTTTCAGTGTCCTGTCTGTCAAAGTCTGATTCACAGCACAAGGGAAATCAAGTGTGTAGAATCTCATCATGTGTGCTGACCTGTGGGTCAGATTCCAGATGAATGAACAGGAGATGGGCTGGTGTAATCAGGGATGCCAGGCTATTGTCAACACTGGCATCTCCCTCCTCATTTTCCCCCAACAATAAATGGCAACCCTGACTCTACTGGAGCACAGCAGAACCAGACTGGAAAGGTCAACTACTACTATTTCTCACCTCTATGCAAGAGATGGGCAGATTTTTTCATGCTTCTAACAAGCTGTGTTTGCTTTTCTGTGACTTGATAAAGCAAAACTATTGATGGTTTTCTTTTACCCAGATGTTCCAAAAAGCTTTCTGTAGAGGAAAAAACTAAGATATATATATATATATCTTAGTTTTTTCCTCTACAGAAAGCTTTTTGGAACATTTTATACTATGTTAAGTGGATAGTTCACAAAAAAAATCTACCATCATTTACTCATACTCAAGTTGTTCTAAACCAATATGAGTATCTTTCTTTTATTAAACACAAAATAACATATTTTTAAATTTGAAGAATTTTTGTAACCAGACAGTTGCTGTTAATAACTGACTTCCATGACTTGGGAAAAAATACTAGGGAAGTCAACGACCACCAGCAACTTTTTGAGTACCAACATGTATCTTCTTTTGTTCAAAAGAAAAAAAAATGGTAACACTTTAGTATAGGGACCAATTCTCACTATTAACTAGTTCTTTATTAGCATAGCTATTATTAATATATTAACTGTTTATTGCTTATAAAGCACAAATTCTGCATGTTGTACATCCCTAATCCTACCCAATACCTAAACTTAAAACTATTAATAAGCAGCAAATTAGGAGTTTATTGAAGCAAAAGTCATAGTTAATGGCTTGTTAATAGCGAGAATTGGACCTTAAAATAAAGTGTGACCCAAAAAAATCATACAGATTTGCAACATTAGGGTGAGTAAATGACAAAATGTTAATTTTTGGGTGTACTATTCCTTTAATTCACCATCCTGTCTTTTTTTCCTTTTACAGAACACAAAACATTTTTTTAAATATAAATAAATAAAAATATCTCCTGTCTTCGACAGT